CCCCAGCCTCTGAGTCCCTAACCCTAACCCCCCCCGCAGCCTCTGAGTCCCTAACCTTAACCCTAACCCTACCCCCCCCCAGCCTCTGATCAGCCCTCTGCCCACCAGGAGCTGCTGGCCAGGGCCGGACTGTCCTTCCTCCTGGACGAGTCGGACACGGTTCTGGCCTACGAGAACAAGGGGAAGAGCAGCGAGCAGCGGCCGGGGCCGGACCCCCTGATGTCCGCGCTGGACAGCCTGAACCGCGTGCAGCAGCTGGAGATCATCCACGGTGGGAGCAGAGGGTTAGGGTTAGGGTTAGGGTTAGGGTCAGGATTAGGGTTAGGGTTAGGGTTAGGCTAACCCTAACCCTAACCCCCCCTCACACCGGCTCTGTTTCAGGGTACAACGACATGAAGACGGAGCTGAAGGACTTCCTGCAGAGGTTTGCCACTGAAGGAAAGGTGGGTGTTCTGGTCCTGAGGGGGGGGGCGGCTGTCCGTCAGGCATTCCTGGGAAATAAAGCTACGCTAGGGCTACCCTAACCCTAACCCTAACCCTCCTCTGTGTCCTCCGACAGGTCGTGACTTCCGAAGACATCCGTCACTTCTTTGAGCAGCAGGGCAGGAAGCGGCGGCGGGTGGACGGCCAGTCCTTCCACTGACCAGCAGCTCCGGACGCGTTTTCTAGATCTCAGTTTGACAGTCAGGGGTTTTAAACTCCTGCCCCAGTTTACCACATTCTTAGATGTTTTAATATCTGTACTTTAAATGTCTCTTTCACTTTATTTTTGAAGGAATGATAATAAAAATGAATTTGGACACAATCAGCTGTCCATCCACTGCCTGACCATCTAATACATTTCTAAAAACTTTAACCGACATACTGTTAGTTTTAGAATGCTAAAACAATGAAAATCAACAAACAAATAACCCTTAAACCACCCTTTCATATTTTCCCATGAAGAAACCAACTCAATTCCTCTCAGTTTGGTTGAAGTTTCAACAGTTCTGAGCGTGAAGACTCACCCCAAACAGACCATCCTCCAACAATAAACACAGGATGGAGCGGGGGGGGAAATATGAGCGGAACGCTTTCAAACAGGAAGGAAGAGTCGGCAAAGAGTCTGAACCAGTTGCTTTCTGAGAGTTTTTCCAGCGTTCGGTTGGTGCAGACCTTTGTGGGGGGGCTCAGGCTGTGATGTTTCTGATGCAGAACAGACATGTTCCACAGGTCTGTTTTCCACCTGCTATCCCTCCACCCATCACTCATCTGCTCACAGATCTAATCAGCTCAGAGCAGACCTCCCTCTGTGTTTTCCATCTCTGATCACACCTTCAAACGCGCACTCAGCCC